ATTTAGGATTCATACCTGAGTGGTGGGAAGGTCAGAGACAGGGAGAGGGTATCTAGTTTGTATATTACTTTGAAGTTGTATACTTAATGGTTTGTATATAAGCTTATGTCCAAATGACCTTGAATAAAAAGGCTCCATTAAATCACAATATTATATAGCCATGTTGTTTTTAATGTGTAAAATTTCAGAAAATTGGTATGTTTAGAACAATTGACTTTGCACTCTTAGGAAAAATAAATGAAGTCCGGAGTCAGAGTCAATTGTGTCAGAATTTAAAAATGTGAAGGCAAGAAGCCAGTAAGATAAAGTAAATCATTAAGATGAGGATGGAATTAACTCTTAAATTTAAATAAAGATATAGTTCTAATTATTGCACTTAAGAAAAAGAAAGACAAATGAAGCTGGGAAAGGTATGGGCTAAAATTATGGTCACTAGCTTTGATAGGAAATAGACTCTGCGGCTTGCAAAAATAAAATGAGTAACATAAACTGATAAATACATTTGTGATGTATGTGGACAGAAATCGTATTCACTAAATTTCGGTGTACAGGAAGGAAGGAAGGGGATAGTCCCAAAGTCTTAGAGACTTAGTCAGAAGCCAAATGGAGGAATTATTTTTGGATATTACAAACAACCAGCTTCGTGGGTATGTGAGCTGCACACTTGCATAGGGCCCTGTGCTTTGCTTGGAAGGGGCCATGCTTGGTTAATGCTCTGCTGTTGAGGTCTTCAAATTCTTTATAATTTTTAAACAAGGGACTCTACATTCTTCATTTGTACTGGGGCCCCTGGATTATGTAAGTGGTTTTACAATACACGTAACAGAGAACATATTAGTCCTGAGAATTGTTGAAGTTGATAGTATCAATAAGATAAAAAGAGTTTGGATAAATTAATAAATTTATAAACATTAGAGTTCTATTATAGGGTCTATTTTTAAAAAGCAAGATACTTTGAGGTTTGTCAAACTTTTAAGGTATGTAATAAAGGGCAACTACCAACAGAGGGCTGACAGAGAACCAAATTTCTATTTTTTTTTTTTTTTTGGCCAGGGCCAGGTTTGAATCTGCCACCTCTGGTATATAGGGCTGGTGCCCTACTCCTTTGATCCCAAGGCATTGCCCGAGAACAAAATTTCTTTTCTCATTATCTAAAACCCAAAGTGAGACATGTTACTGCTATAAATGTGAATAAACATGAATTACAGAAATTCTCATCAATTGTTTTTCAAAGGAATCAAAACCTACAATAATGATTATTAGATGAAGTGTAACACTTTTCTCCCTCTTTCTCTGCATTTAAAATCAGTTTCATTACTCTGTATGACCTTATTTTCTAGTTTTCAGAAAAGCTTTCTGTTCCAATCTCTTAACAATTTCATCCCTTTTCCATATAGACAGAAATTAGAATTTCTGATCAGAAAACTTTCCAAAAAGATAGAAAGATCCCCAAGTACTGAACCTGACAATGGCAGACTTGGACAGAGCCATTTTAGCTATATGCATGCCAGAAAAAGCTATTTAGAAACAGGAATTCTAGAAATTTAGTCTTGGAAATTTAGAGTTACTCTTAAAGTTACTAAAATGCATTTGTTAAATGTATTATATATGTCCATGTAAAGGATATAATGGGAAAACACAAACTTTCTATTGAAAAGGTCATTGGCTATTAAAATTATAATATTCTTAGTAATTTGGAAAGTTTCAGGTTGGGAAACTAACTTTGGGGTAATATGAAACAGGAGGACTTATATAATGGTAGCCTTTTGTACCTACAAATTAGGGAACCAGACTATCACTCAAAATGTTGTGAAGTAAAATACAATCTTAAGCATCTCTACCTCCTTGAGAGGCTGTAGAGGCTGTCTGACTGGACCCCCTTTTGGCCAAGAGGATACCCTTAAACTGCTCATCAGGAGAAAGGAGGTCTGACATGCCTCATCATGCCCCCTCCCTTATTAGAGATAGCCTTTGTAGCTCATTAACAGGCCTAAAATCATGCAGGAAAAAGCTGCAGGTCCTCAATTTATACAGTAGTTTGTCTCAAATTAACATTCCCTTATCTTAACTCAAGCATTCCAGTCACCTCTCCTGGTCTTTTAAAAAAGCCTAACTCTTTCATTTGATTGTCAGCTAAAGAATCTTTAAACTCATCTATAACCTGTAAGCTTTCCCCCCTTTGAGATATCTCACCTTTTTTGGCCAAAGCAGTGTATGTCTTCCTTGTATTGATTTATGATTTTACCTGTAATTTCTGTATCCCTGAAATATATAAAACCAAACTATAACTCAACTACAGAGAGTCCAGTTGCTCAAGGCTTCTTGGGTATAACTCGAGGCTATGGTCCTCAAATTTGGCTCAGATTAAACCTCTTTAATTATTTTATCATGTATTATTTTCCATTGTCAATATCAAGTCTGTCTTTCTTTGTGTTATAAAGAAGTATCTGTGGGAGAAATACCAGACTTTTCTGCTCAGACATATAATTCAGCTCTATTTTCTAATTCCTGAAGGGCAGAAGTTCTTAAAGTATGGTTCTATAGCTTGCTAAAAATACAAATTCTCAGGCTAGGTCTAACATCTCCTCAAACAGAAACTATGGGGAACAGGGCCTAACAATATGTGTTTTAATAAACACTAACATTCTGATGATCACAAAAGTTTGAGACCAGAGTCTTAAGGCAACTGAAGGTTTTTTTTTTTAAAAAACACTTCCTAAAAATAGAGATCTTTTGTGATTTTAATTTCTAAACTGAGTGATCAGATAAAAGAACACTGAAGTTGACCTCTACGATGGCTTTGAGCAGCAAAAACACAGAGTAAGGTTCATCTTGAAGAAGAAAAAATAGAAAATAACAAAACAACAAAAAGCATCCTAAGATGTCTTATAAATAAGAAATATTTTAAAATTTCACAGTAATAAAACATGCTTTTCACTTACTTCTTACTAATATTTTAAATAAAAACATTTTGAATATTAATAGGGGCCTATAGATGATGATTTTTATCTTTCATAACTGTTTCTACTGCTGAAGAATGCCATCTTATTTTTAACACAGAAATAACTGCTTTAAAATAAAGATTAAAAAACACATCATAATAAAGAAATCGATTGGAAACAACAAAACATGCATTAGGTAACCAGTAACTGCATTGAAATAGATACACCACTCACATATTCCATTATGTAAATGAATTCAAAGATATTTCATGACTGATCAGCTAGAAGGGACATAATGATTTATAATTCAAATAACTGAACACTGAAATCAAATTGAACTAATATATATTTCTAAATATGCAAACCTGAAATAATTGTTAAAAAATATAAATCAATGTACCCTTGTTGAAATCATTTGTATCCGTTGATTTAAAATGTTTAGCTTTTAAACTTTTCTAATATGTTATCTAAAAGTATGATTTTTTATTAACTGTAGGAAGTGCTCAAAAGCAATAAACAGCTTGTAAAATAAAAGGTTATAATATCTGGATTAAGGAATGTGTAATAGGATTAATGTGATAGAAAAAGGATTTTAAATAGCAGATACAAATAAATTAGGTATTATGCAAATTATACTAAAAGAATACAAATCAAATTAATTTTATATTAAATATCAATTTCAACCTAAAAAATAGAGTAAATCTAAACAATAGATACATGCTATACAGTAACCAAAGCTGCTCTGCAGATAATATGCTCTCAAAGTAATTCATTGTGAAAAGGCCAGAGTTTGCAATACTATGAAGTACTTATAAACCACTTCATATGTTAGAAATAAAGAGTATTTCAGCATTATTATTAGAAAAAAATATGGGTTGAGTTTTTTTTTTTAATAAGAAAAAATACATATCTTAAAAAGCCAAAATGACCACTGGAATTGGGTTGTATATCACTTTCCAGTAAAAAGGAAAAACAGCCTGGACAGGTGTAATTTATCATTTTTCTGATTTAATATCAAAGAAATATATTAAAATAATAAAAAGAATCCTGAAATCCTCAAAATTTGTAGTGATAAATAGCCCTCCCTGTCTTTATTGCATTATACCTACTAACAGAAATATTGCATGGTAGATTTTGCCAGACAAGGACGATTATTTTCCAATAAAAAGTTGCATATTAAATTCCAGCACAAAAGTGGGTGTCTAATACTTTGGAAATCTTTTATGGTTTACCAAGGAATACAATTTTAAACTTAACTAATACAAACATTATTTCTAGAATGAATAAAGGTTTCCATTCAATGCCAACCATCTTCAGAATTTGTCCTCATATTAAAATATCAGCTAATCTTAGTGTTTAAATAAACCAGCACTTACCTTTCACAATCCCTAGTGTTTGCTAGTTAATACATAAATGATAATTTACATGATTCTCACTCATTAGTAATGGGGAATCTTATTTTAGAGTACATTAGATGTTGACTGGTGAGGCCAATAATCAAAGAAGTTGTCAAAAAGCTTATCATTTTCTTCTTAATACTCCTTTGTGCATCTCACCTAATGAAAATTATGTCCTTGCAACTGAAAAATATTAGAAATATTTACTCATAGGAATTGTTTTTATATGGCAATATTTTTAGAACATTCTGACCTTCGTAAAATTAGTTCCATACATTTTTTTAGAATAAGACTATGAACTAGACCTGTGGTTACAAACTTTTTTCTTTTTCTGATGACACAGACCCAGAAGATTATACTCAGTTTAATAAATAGTTACATAATAAAGTATGCAATTATGTGACTATTTATTAAACTACCTGACTATATGACTTTAATTAGGAATCTATATATTCATACACATTTAATTGTGACCGACTAAATGATTCATACTATACAGCTAATACAAACCTTTCAAAAACATGTATTTACCGATAAGGCTCAGTGAAAAGCCTTAAAAAGAAACTTGCAAAAACTATAAACATGGAAAATATCTGGCTGATAGAATGTACTTAGTAAGTTCTTTACATTTATAATATTAAATATACAGTGAAAAGGATATCCAACAGAAAGGTCATTTAGGAACTGAAGAGTCCTTGAAATTACAGGCTCACATCTTCCCCAGTATTTAAGGTTTGTAACACTAAATATGAAAAAAAAGTCTTTAATAAGAATTTGCTTGTGCAGGAAGAACCAGAGCAATACACATACATTTATGTAAGTTCAATGACCTAAATCACAAATACATCACTAAGTGAAAAGCAGATGAAAAAACACTTTTTATTCTATTCTTTTTACAGTACATTCAAAATTATATGCAACTAATCCACATCAAACATTGTTCTCCAAATGGTGTATAATTCTATACATTTAGTTTTGTGAATTAAACAGTTGCCTAAGAGTTTCAAAGATGAAGCATTAAGTTTGTATCTAAAAGAAACATATTAGGGATAAAAGCAGGAGTTACAAAGGAAGTCAAATAAATGTTCATAGTTACTTTCAAAAAATGAACCTCAAATAGCGGCTCTAAAACTCATTTCTTAATGAACATGATTGTATATAAAGTTTTGTTCTGCAAGCAAGAAAGTACTACCTGTTACACAGATAAAGTGGAGTGCCAAATGGAGACATACAAATTTAGCCAAAGTTATGTCTATGATTAGAAACTAGTTAATTCTCCTAATATTATAAACACAATTTAAGGAGTTTCCATGAATGTGTCTCTGAATCCACAGGTCCCTGTTGGAACTAATGAGTGCCTTGTCTTAAGACAATCAGACCTCTCAGTGATTCCAGTTTACAATAATCTCTTCATTTGGTCTTTGAAATAGGTGTTACTATTTTTATTAATTAGAAAATAATGCTATCCAACTGATCTGAGGAGTCAAGGTCTGTTAATCTTTTTTTTTTTTTT